CCTTATTTTCACTACTTATGTTCACCATACTAGACTCTAGGATCACGATAGGGCTTTCTTGGCTTGTAACATAGGCTCATGGTCAGGTATGGTATATTTGGGTACAATTTTAGTGACTTTTTGCCCTCCTTTACATTAACACTAAGCTTCCTACCTCTTTTCATTACCCTTTACACCCTATTTTTCTTATCTTTTCTTATTTCCCTTGCTTTCCTATTTTTGGATGTTACTCTTTTTTCTTTTGCATTTTTTTCTCATTAAAATCTTGTTTTTTAAATCAATTGGTAATTTTGACTGAGTCACATCTTTTGCTCACTATCTCTTTTCTTTTTAACATCCAACTATTTCCATACCCATTTGTGGGTCTTACTCATAATAGCCAACCTCAACTCATGACTTTTCCATGTGTTGAGGTGCACAATACCCAAAGTCGAGTTAGGGCCAAGACGAGGTTATATACTGCATTATCCACCCTCAGGATTTTTGCCTAAGTCGAGGTGCACATGTAAAAGGATGGACTTGGACCATTAGACCTTGGAAAGGTGAGTTGGTGAATTTTTTTTGTATATTATAGGCTCAACATATTTGGATTAACAAGGGACAATTGTTTCACTTGTTTATCTTCCTTTAGGCTAGAAATAAGCTATTTAGAACAAAGTCCTATAATTATTTCCTTGCTTCTAACACAGATTCCCTTCGAAGGAATAACAAAGAAAGTTCTAGTTAATTACCAACTATTGAACACTCAAATCTCCTCAAACTCTCCTGGTACCTAATTACAATATTAGATTATCAACTTTGCTAGTTTAGGTGTTAGTTGAAGGTCAGGCAGTGGGTGCCTATCTATGTAATGCTTAGAGCCAAAACATTCAACTTGTTTTCAACTACACATGCAAGTACTATCTAGGAAGGGGTATCATTTTAACAACCATCATGCTTCATTTTTCATGCTTTTCTACTTTGTATAAATTATGACATGCCAGTTCAACAGAAAAGTAAACAGTCTCTTGGGGAAAATGCTTAGAGCCAAAACATTCAACTTGTTTTCAACTACACATGCAAGCACTATCTAGGAAGGGGTATCATTTTAACAGCCATCATGCTTCATTTTTCATGCTTTTCTACTTTGTATAAATTATGACATGCCGGTTCAATAGAAAAGTAAACAGTCTCTTGGGGAAAAAGAACATAGGCAATAAAATCCCAAGAAAGGATTATGAGTTGGGTTACTCAGACTTCACCCTACCACTCACTTTCCGTTTACCCCACCCCAACCAAAAAAACTTGCAATTGTACCCAATGAAATAAAATCATAATGATAAGGTTATAGGTGAAGAAAACTTGTGGCAAAAAACGTCAAATACTTATCAACATGATGGTGGATCTGGATTCCCAGATGTCACAAGATTAACACTTAGGTCACCTTTAGTATCACCCACTGCAACCTCCGCACCATCATAAGTGCTCCTATCATCAACCACCGATAAAAAACTGGAGGCCCTAGCAACCATCTCTCGTGCTCTTATCTAGCGGGCCTCCTCATCTTCCAACCATGCCCTCCTAGACAACTTTAACTCCGTTCACTATCTCTTTTTTGAACGAGCCTCATCACCGACCTCAGTAATGAGGCTAAAGTGGTGCCTCTTGGTACGTCCATGTGGCTCCATTGGTGGCTCAGCAATGGATTTCTACATTCATGGTTGCATGTGGTGGAGTAGGGTGTCCATTAGTGCCTCTAACTTCTGTATCCTCGCTAAAGGAACTAGTGTTGCAGATGGCGGTGTGGATCAGGATGAGCTGGGGTTCCTGTTTGCGACATGGGTTGAGTAAGATGGTGTGGTGTCAGCAAGGTCAGATGTAGGAGGATCAGCTCCTTGGGCTAACTCCACCATCTCCACCAAATGCTCACTCATAGGGGGCACCTCAATCTTTGACCCTCTCCGTGGTGTCGCTGCATTGGCCTCATCCCTGATGAGGCCTATGTCGATTGTCCCCACCGGTGTCTGTAGTGTGTCACAATACCAAATAGGTATCTAGCCTCCATATAAACCTAGAAGATTAAACATGTGAATGGGTAGTTTGTAGAGGTCTTGAAATCCCTCTCATGGATCACCGAGATAAGCACCCCCGCAAAATCAATCTCTAGTCCCGCTACCAGGGCTGCTACCAACACTGCCCTATTGCACGTGACCACAATCCTCTTTAGTGGGCGATAACCTATGTCGGACAATATTCCAGAAGAACATGGCTGCAAAAGTGAGTGTGGCCTTCTGGATTATTCTTGTAGGGTCCATTACCCAATCGTCCCTCTCCCTATAGGTTGTCAGGTAATGCGGCAACCACTTCTTACTCGCCTCTCTATGCCAAATATTTTTCAAACTCACCACTCTGTGCTACCTGCCACCAATAATCAAATTTGGCAGTATTGCGTGTTAGCTGTGAGGAAGTGGTGGTGTCGTATAAGAAACAACGGATGGATGACTTTGATATATCCACTCGGCAACCCTGTACTAGTGTATAGGTGAGAGAAACCTATTTGGAAGGCCTTGCCCGCCTGTCGAGGGACCCTCAAAGAGTAGACACGTATGAATCATAGAATTCCCTCATGTATCTCCTCATTGTAGGAGCCCAAATCCTGATCCATCAAGTCAAACTTGTGAAGGTTGAACAATCTATGCACCATGGGGATTGTGTGCAAACTCCCTGTACGGACTTGGAGCTCCACCGTAACTAGCTGGGTCATCACCCCCTTCTCATTCAGCATTTTAGCATACATGTACACCTTATATTGGCCATCGATGCACCCACGATTGGGTTCCTCAGTAACATGTGGGGGATCATCTACTCGGGGTGCGGGTGCAGACTTCAAGCTGGTAGACTGATCAGATGAGGCTTGGTGGTCGTGGCCCTCCGACCTAGTGGCTCCCTAAGAGAAAGAACCGGATGTAGTGACTTTTTTGACCCAGAAGATTCGGCCGACCCTGATTTAGAGACATATTCGGAGCCTGATGCTCCTTTTAAACTAGAGGACACCCTGGATAGTAAGTCGGTCAGTGTTCACTCCTCATTAGACTGCGAGCAATAACGACACCAGGGGTTACCCCTAGTGACTCATGCAGCTGCAGGTGGGGTTGTGGCATCCGGAGGGATGCATGCTGGGTCTTTCTTGTTGTCGGAGTTAACAATCATCCGACAAGACGAGGACACATACTTGGATTTTCCTCTTGAGTAGACGATATCCTTTTTGTTAGACATTTATGCCTGTAAAGTAGTTGTTAGCCTCAACTCAGCATTACTATACATTCAAACACACCGGGGGAAGATAATTTGAAAAATAAACAACTTAGTTTTGTTTTGCAAATTCAGATTGATGGGCACCATCGACGGTCCATCGTCTGACACTTAAAATTATTCAACTAAGAAAAAAATCATACTTCTATGATAGAAACGATGGTCGTGCAACTTAGATTATTTTTAGAAGTTAGTGAAAATTAGTTCTCTGATGGAAATGACGGACGTGCAAAATGTCTCATCGATCAATCGACGGTATGCAATCCACTTCGCCGTTTAAGACTTGGATAATTTTAGATTGGTGCAGTCGACGGACCCCAGCGATGGCCCATCGATCAATCAAAGGTCCGCAACGAGGTCTCGTACTATTGGCCTACGACAGATTTCAAGCCTTTTTGTAAGGTCTAATTTTTAGACAACTTTTGACACACTCAAGTTTGGATATGCAATTTTAATGCCCAGAAGGCAAATTCATCATTCCTCACTAAGAAACCCTAAGTAGAAATTACCAATTTGTGTTCTATTTCATCCACAGTAAGAAACCCTAAGTCGAAATTACAAAAACTAAAGAGATTCCCACATTTTATAAAGACTACAAAGTAACACAACCACTCTCTATCATTCCGAGAAATGTAATTACACAAGTTCTAGCATGCAATTTTGCCGATTCTAGTCCCAGGGTAAACACCCACTTCAAAATTCGTAATTTCAACTATGAACAAAAACTTAAAGTTAGTCAGAGAAATAGAAATACTTTTCTGAGTAGTAGAGTGATTATGTGCACTTGTGAAGTTTCAAAGAGTATCCCACGCATCCAAACTTGATCACCAGCGAAAGAACAATAGAGGAAAAGATAAAAATTGGGGAAAAGAGAAATTGGGGATGGGAGTATTCGTATTTGGGAGTGAAATTAGGTTTGAAAAAGTTGATTTTTGTGTAAGGGAATGAAATAAAGGACTAGAAATGGTTATTGAAGGGAATTTTATAAGAATTTGAAGGTGGGGAATGAATATAAATCATTATGTCCTTTAATCTTACCAGTCGGGTCAGGTCGGGTTGATTCGCTAGCATTTTAGAATCACGAAACCCTATTGATGGACCCTCAATCGGGACCATGTATGAATTTTAAACTTAGCCAAATTAAGAAACATATTCTACATATTTTTGTTTTGGTCCAGGACATGTAACACCTATTAGGTTTTTTTTTGTATTTTTTTAGACACATTTGAGACACGAACCCTATAGGAATTTCTACACAACACTAGTACATAAGCAAGAATGAACTAAGTCTAAGAACCAAAACAAAACAAAAATATGATTAATTCTACAAAGAAAAAAGACTTATCATTGGTTAGAGGATACACCTTGGGTGGCCACCCAAGAAGCGCTTGATTTAACGTCGTGGCCAACATATTCCTCTTGATTACTCAAAATTCATCAACATTGAAGGCCTCAACCACTTAATGCAAACTCTCTTCATGTTCCATGTAGATCTTTATCCATTGTCCGTTGACCGTGAACATTTCACCTTCCTAATTCTCCAACTCGACCACTCCATGTGGAAATACTTTAGTGATGAGGAATGGCTCTGTCCACTATGACTTGAGTTTGCCCAGAAATAAGTGTAGCCTAGATTTTAATAGAAGCACCAAATCACCAACCGCAAAATCTCGTTTTTCAATTCTTTGATCGTGATACTTCTTCATCTTCTATTTGTAGATGGCTGAACTTTCATAGGCCTTGAGGCCAAAATCATCAAGCTCATTCAACCCATTTAATCTTTGTTTTACTTCTTCAGTCCAATCCATCGTCATTTGCCACATCGCTTTATGCTCTAACTCGACCGGCAATTGACAAGCCTTCCCATATATAAGTTGGTATAGAGATATACCTATGGGAGTCTTGTATTCTATGTGGTAGGCACAAAAAGTATCATCAAGTCTCCTTAACCAATCCATACTATTTGCATTCACCCTTTTCACCAGAATTTTCTTGATCTCTCGATTGGACACCTCTACTTGCCCGGTAGTCTGTGGATGGTAAGGAGTAGCAAGACTATGGCGGGCCCCATTTTTCTTCAGTAGCCCTTTGAACAACTTATTACAAAAGTGAGAACCACCATCACTAATAATGGCCATCAGTGTGCTAAATCTGGAGAAGATATTAATTTTCAACAGAATACGATGACACTGTTTCCTTCATTGTTAGGAAGAATTATTACTTCCGCCCATTTGGACATATAGTCGACCACCACAAGTATATACTTCATCACATGAGAAATCAAGTATCTTGCCTCTTCGAAATTCCTTCATCTCATTGGCACCGATCACATGACTTGGCGAACTCGTGAGCATCTTGGTGAATGGTTGTCCAACAGTACCCACACTTCAAGATCTTATGCACAGTCTAGATAAAATTATGGTGCACAGCCATAGGAGTGGAGTGGCATGCCTCCAGAACACTCAACATCTAAACCTCCAGTACGCAGGATTGAATAATCCCATCTGCTTAACTCCGGTATAAATAAGGATCATTCTAAAAGAAAATTTTCACATCATACGTGAACTTTTTCCTCTAATTGAAAGACAAGTACGATGGGACTATATCACTTGTCATAGCGGCCAATACATTTTCATTTGAGAATGCATCGTCAATTTTCAATTTTTATCCCAATTCACACATAGTTTCATCCTCTAATCTAGGAAAGTGATCTGCAACTTGATTCTTAGTTCCCTTTCTACTTTTACCTCAAAATTGAACTCTTTCAGTAACAACACCTATCTAGTAAACCTCGGTTTCCATCCCTCTTTGTTATCAAGTACCTCAAACCGGAGTGGTCTGTATGCACTATCACCTTCGTGCAAGGCAAATAGGAGCAAATTTTTTGAATGAGAACACCACTGCAAGAAGCTCCTGTTCAATTATAGTATAGCTCCCTAATACCACACCAAGTGCAACCCCACTAGCATCACACATAACCTCAAATGGCTAACTCCAATTTGGTAAAATTATAATGGGCGCGGACACCAACTTCTCTTTCAACTATCCAAATGATTTTAGAAAGGAATCATCTAAATGGAACTTACATTATTTCTTGAGCAGTTTGCATAAAGGATGTGAAATTGTTGAAAAATCATTGATGAACCTCCGGTAAAATCCAGCATGTCCAAGAAAAATTCTCACACCTTTTATAGAGATAGGTGGAAGGAGTCTCTCTATCACTTACACTTTAGCTTGATCAACCTCTATCCCCTTCTACGAGATGCGATGACCCAACACTATACCTTCCTTAACCATAAAGTGGCATTTCTCCCAATTAAGCACCAAATTACAATCTTCACATCTTTTGAGCACCTCATCCAAATTACTCAAACAGCGATGAAAGGAGTCCCCTAGCACAGAAAAATCTCCCATGAACACCTCAATGGTGTCTTCCACCATATCAGAGAATATCGACATCATACGATGTTGCAAGGTGGCCGGTGCATTACATAATCCAAAAGGAAACCTTTTGAAAGCGAATGTCTCATAAGGGCAAGTGAAAGTGTTCTTTTCTTGATCCTCAGGGGAAATAGAGATTTGGTTGTAGACCGAATAGCCATCAAGAAAACAATACCACCCTTTGCCTGCGAATCTGTACAACATTTTATCCATAAAAGGCATGTGAAAATGGTCCTTCTCAGTCTGAGAATTCAACTTCCGGTAGTCCACTGGCCGCATTGAAACAAGCTTATTCCTATCATTAGGCACCACTGTCATCCCACCCTTTTTAGGTACACACTGAACATGACACACCAAACTACTATTTGCAATAGGGTAAATGACTCCGACATCTAACCACTTGATGATCTCCTTTTTCACTACCTCTTTGTCACGACCCAAACCGGGTTGCGACTGGCACCCACACTTACCCTCCTATGTGAGCGAACCAACCAATCTAAACCTTAACATTTCAATATAATATAAAAAGAAAGTAATGCGGAAGACTTAAACTCATTAATAAAATCAATAACTATTATTATTCAACATCTATTATTCCCAAAACCTGGAAGTCATCATCACAAGAACATCTATTTTAAACTACTAATTCTAAGAGTTTCTAAGAAGCTAAAAATACATAAGAAGCTAGTCCATGCCGGAAGTTCAAGGCATCAAGACATGAAGGAGAAGATCCAGTCCAAGCTAGAAGCGTTAGCTCACCCTGAAGATCCGGTGTGACGAAGACTGGCTTGAGTTACTGTTGAGTCGAAGATGACGGCACGTTTGCTGCACTCCACAAATAACAAGAAGAAAAACATAAAAGTAGGGGTCAGTACAAAACACGGGTACTGAGTAGATATCATCGGCCAACTCAAAATAGGGAACAATATATATCAAATATTATCGTAAATCAACTATAAAACTCAACATGTAGCAACAACAAGTACTATAATCATCAATAAGTACCATCAAGTTCATCCATGAGGGCTCAAGCCTCAATGCCATACTCATTTGGGAATTAAGTTTATTAAGTTGAGTATATTATCATCTTTCAAGATTCATTATCTTTCTTCCTCTTGTGTCGGTACGTGACACTCCGATCCCCTAATTCTATGTGTCGGAACGTGACACTCCGATCCCCTACATGTGTCGGTACGTGAAACTCCGATCCCCTACATGTGTCGGAACGTGACACTTTGATCCCCTACATGTGTCGGAACGTGACACTCCGATCCCCTAATTCTATGTGTCGAAACGTGACACTCTGATCCACTAATATTATGTGTCGGAACGTGACACTCTGATCCACTAATACTATGTGTCGGAACGTGACACTCCGATCCACTAATATCATTCTGTAAATCATAAAGCCTTCTCTATTCCAAGGCATCATCATTAATAATGTATATTAAAGTTTCTTTTCAAGATTTGGGATTCAATATTTTCAGCATGCTTATCTTATCGCAATCACATAATCATATTCATGCAAACATACCATTAAGCATATAGTGGGGTTTACAATACTACCAATACATATCATTCACTATTAAGAGTTTACTTATGAAAGCATGAAAACCATAACCTACCTCCACCGAAGAATTGAAATCAAGCAAGTTAATCCTCAAAGCTTGGTGTTTTCCTCTTCTTCTCGATCGTTTCTCTCTCTCCCTTCTTGTTCTTTTTATTTTCTTATTCAAACCCTCTTTCTTTTACCCTAATTAGTATATAATTAAGAATAAAAGATGGCAATAATACCCCACTAATTAACTTAGGGTTACCTCTTTTAACCCCCAAGAATTTGAGTTATTAATATAAACCCACAAAATCTATAATTAAGGAAGGAATAGTCCAAAAACGTCCCTTAAAATGTGTAAGGAAATCCGATTCTTCCTGGGATTTGCGCAACCTGTGATGGGCCGTCGTGCCTGCGACGGTCCGTCCTGCAGGTCGTCGCAGAGTTCATAGACCCAAATTTCCATCAAGGGTCTGTGACGGTCCATCACACCTGTGACGGTCTGTCCTGCCATTCCGTCACAAAGTTCAGAGAGTCGATTTTTAGTACCCAATTTTAGATTTTCTAAGTGTTTTGAAACGAGACCCTGCGATGGTCCGTCGTGCCCATGACGGTCCGTCGTGGGGTCCGTCGCTTCTGCCAGTTTTTCCAGAAATAAAGTTTGCTGCTCAAAACGACTAAACAAGTCGTTACACTCTTGCATAGGTAAATTCAACCTCCTTTGGTGCTCAATACTTGCTTTGTTATCAGGCATGAGTTGGATTTTGTGGGAGCAAATACTGGGAGGGATTCCAATAATATATGTAATAGTCCACCCAATGGCTCGTTTAACTTTTTCAATACCGCTACTAATCCCTCTATTTGTCGTTCATTCAAATATGATGTAATTATTACTGACAAAAGGTCATCTCTACCCAAGAACGCATACCTCAGATAAGGTGGTAGAGCCTTAAGCTCTAATTTTGGGGCCTCCTCAATAGATAGTTTCGCCGGTAGAGACTCGTGATGCTTCAATATCTAACTCCAATTTCTTTTGTTTTGACTGATATTTAATTCGTTCAAGTGTGGAAACAAAATACCCATACTCTTCAATACCATCACTGTTAAAATTCATGATCACTGCTGCTAGTGCCTCAACACCTAGTTGCTCTTCAATTTTGTATTTTAGATACACTCTCAACCCTGTATGATATACCAGAAACTGTTTTGATCTCACCGCTTTTCTTCATGGATATACATATGTTAAAATTTTTTCTTCATTGATCAACCTAAACTTTATCTGCCCTATTTAAATATCAACAAATGCCACCACTATGCAAGAAATGGTCTCCCTAGAATAATGGGAACCTCAAACTCAACCTAACACTCAAGAATCACAAAATAGGTCAAAAATATACATGACTCCACTTTCACAAGTATGTCATACAGTACACCAATAGGAATCTTCACTGTTCGATTGACCATCACTAACCGCATCGCAGTAGGCTTCGAGTCACCCTAACCTAACTTCTTATAGATGGACAGAGGTATGAGATTTATTCTAGCACCTAGATCACTTAGTGCCTTAGTAAAGTGTAACAACCCTAAAATACATGGAATAGTAAAAGTGCTAGGATCATCCTTCTTATGCACTAGAGACCTTGCAATAGCACTACAATGCTGCTTTCTGTCATCATCCTCAAAACTCACAGTTCTTTTCTTAGTTACCATGTCCTTCATAAACTTAGCATAACCAGACATTTTTTCCAAAGCTTCTATCAAAGGAACATTGTTGAAAAGTTGTTTCAACATAGTGATAAATAACTGGTATTTACCATCCTCAATTTTCTTCACTAATCTCTGAGGGAATGGTGGTGGAGGTCTAGTAATGGAGACCACTTTCTAGGAGACCTCTCTTCTTTCGTCGTTTTCTCCACCAACTCTCCACTATATTTTACTACCTCATCATATTTTCTCATATCGTCTTCTACCTTATCCGGCATAGGCGGATCAATTGTTTGCTTACCTCCTCGAGTTGTGACTACCATACAATGCCCATCACTTTTTGAATACTGGATAGTGTTTCTAGGAAGTGTTCTAGGTTGGTGAGGGTTTACATTATTGGACAACTGATTCATCTATAACTCAAGGTGCTTAATTTAAATCACATGTGCATCAACCTTTTGTCCAATATTAGCTAAGACACCTCTCATCTCTTTGACATTCTCATCACTAGCGTCAAACCTCATCATCATCTATTGCATCATATTCTCAACTCTCACCATACTATCTCCACCATCCCTAGGAGCAACCTCTTGTTTTTGAGGTGGAACATAAGGCCCACTTCGACCATTCCTAGTACCATAGTTACTCTGGTTGAAGTTCTTGTCCCGGTTGTAGTTCCCGTCTCAGATATATTGGCCCTTTAGATTGTAGTTACCATAGTCCCGACCTTAGTTTCCTTGACCTTCGCGCCAATTTTCCTGATTAGATCCTTGAGTGTTTGATCGGAAACCCCCCATCTGATCATTCACTGCATATGTATCCCCTTCATAATTGTACTCATTTGACGGCAATGGTGGTTTATTCAAATAGTTCACTGCATTTACCTTCTTTGCGCCTTCGCTTACATGTTTCAAAACCAACCCTATCTTAGTTCTCATCCATGCTAAATTTTCACGCATCTCATCTATTGATTGGTTGTTTGTAGCTTGTACCGCAAAGGTGTTTCTCCCTGTTTCTGACTTTCTAGTGCTCCAAACCTTATTTTTGCAAGATATCTTCTCCAACTTCTCTGCAATCTCAGCATAAGTACATTCCCCATAGAATCCACCCACAATATTATCTAGCACTACTTTGTTGTTATCGTCTTGACCACTGTAGAAGCACTCTTTTAGCGACTCATCATCGATGCGGTGGTTTGGGACGCCTTTCACAAAGGCGGTAAATCTGTCCCAAGAGCTACTAACTGACTATCCCGGTAGTGCCACAAAGTTATTCACCT